AAAAAAAAAAAAAAAAAAAAAAAAAAAAAAAGAAAAACTAGTCTGGACTTAAAGTGAGGAGAAGTTTCTCAGATATTTCTTCTTTGTGTATTTTCAGGAGGAGCTTCCAGGACATCCAGTGCTACGAGTGGTCTCAGTTGTAGGAGTGAGCGATCAGCTGTTGACCCCTCCAGTGGCCACCCTCGAAGAAGACCTAAACCCCCTAATGTCCGTACAGCTTGGTTATAAAACACTTTTTTTTACTTTAAACATTGTTCACACAACTTTTATTGAAGTGCTCATGCTATTACGATAATTCTCTGTGTAAACATCTATAATACCGTTTAGCAATTTAAGGTGTACAACAGTGCGTTGTAATTTATTGTTATTCAGTGCAAAATTATTGTCAAAAAGACGATTTAATGTAAAAAGTGTTTCCTGAGGATGTATTCATATAAGATGTGTTCTTAATAGAGAAATTGTGGTATGCATGTGTATCTTCTCATTATAGAAATTGATTCCATTGTCATGCTGTCAAAATAGTAATGATAGTATCATTGCATGTTGTACCCAAGATGTTCACTATATAGTTTTCAATTTGTGTTATTTTCATTTGTTTATAAGCGTTATACCATGAGCTTAGCTCCTAAATTTGGCTGGCTTTGTTTTTCATCTGCTTTAGAACTTACGTGGCATGGCGTAGCTTGATTGTATGAGATTGAACACTGATTATGAAACAAATCTTGAAATGTGTTTTCATTGGTAGAGCTGATCTAGATTTGATGAGCAGATTGAGAGACGCTTCTATTGGAGCAATTCTTGTAATTCACCAGAGGTATCTAGTTATTGTATAAGTGCACTGAGTGTTAGATCTTAAAAGTTTGATCAACCATTCCAAACCATTTCAAATACGAATATTAGAAAGTTCAACTTAGAAGCTTCCCTTTGTGTTTTTATGCATTCCGGTAAAGTCGTATTTATGATTCTTAGAAATGAGGTAGGTTTTAGAGCTACAGTCTTCTAACTTGTGACTAGTTTAAGGACCACATCAGTTGCATCATAAGCAAAACCTATAGTATTTGTTGAATCAGTGAAATGGCACTATCAGCATGAAGAGCCAAGAAGCAGATCCTGAGGGTGCTGGACAATGTTTTAGGTAATTCAGTATTTACTGTGTTATTAGAGAAGACCTAGCATAAGAAAGAAATGCTTTAGAAATTCCAGTAAGTATTTATAAGGCCTGAAAAAACTAAAATTTGAACAAAAAGGGAAATAAATCACACGTTTGCTGAGTCTGCTGCTTTAAATATTGGCTACTTTTCTTGTTTTGGTTTACTTTGATTTGTTTGATTGAACCCTGGAAGTATTATTTTTACCAGCCCCACATTTAAAGACCTAGTAATCTTGATGGAATTGGTAATGGCAGATAGGGTTTAATACTGTTGACTTTCCAAATTAGAAAAATTTTTTTTTCGGCTGGGCGCAGTGGCTCAAGCCTGTAATCCCAGCGCTTTGGGAGGCCGAGACGGGCGGATCACGAGGTCAGGAGATCAAGACCATCCTGGCTAACCCGGTGAAACCCCGTCTCTAGTAAAAAATACAAAAAAATAGCCGGGCGAGGTGGCGAGCGTCTGTAGTCCCAGCTACTCGGGAGGCTGAGGCAGGAGAATGGCGTGAACCCGGGAGGCGGAGCTTGCAGTGAGCCGAGATCCGGCCACTGCACTCCAGCCCGGGCTACAGAGCGAGACTCCGTCTCAAAAAAAAAAAAAAAAAAAAAAAAAAAAAAAGAATTTTTTTTCTGTCAAACTTAGGCTTTTGTATAGCAAAGTATGGTATCTCATTGTTACCATCGTTTTTCACCACTAGCCTTTTCAGTAGGCCCTTAAAATGTATTGGAAAGGTTCCATGTTAAATGACAGATGTCTGTCTTCAGTATGAATTTTTGATCTGTAGCCACAGTAAGATTTCTGTTTTCCAGTGGTCAGGCTCTGTAGCACGTATGCTAAATGCTTCTTCCTCAGCACCTTTAACAGTAACGTGTCACTACATTTTCCAAAACATCAATTCAAATGTCTCGGTTTTAGTTTGTATTAATAGATTTTGTTGAGGGTAGGGCCTGCGAACATGGGCGCAGTGAGGTTAAATAGTTCATGTGACCACAACCTGGCTTTGAGGTTCTGCTTCTTTAGGGGGCCATAATGTTCATTCATTGTTATTTGATGCTCTGTTCTGATGAACATGTTATTACACCTTCTGTATATGTAAGCTTTAGCTATACTAAACCAAGGCTTTATTTTCTTTTGTTTTTTAACTTACTGTACTTTGAATGTTTATATAACCTGTATTTCAAGAGAGGGAAGATAATGCTGAATTTTAAACTTAGCATTTGAACATCTGTCCAATAGTGAATTAATCAGTTTTTTAAAAATTGATTTTTGAGTTGTTCCAGAAAAATGTTTTTTATATATAATCTTTTTATATATATAAAATCTTTTTTATAAATTTTATTTTAAAAATATTTTTAAAAAGATTTATATATATATAAAGATTATATATATTTATATATAGTCTTTTCTGTTCATAATGGCATTAGTCTCTGAATACATTTTATATTATCTTTGCTGCCACATGTCAGGATACAACACAATAGTTTTATAAATAAAAACTGTACTTTGATTTTAGGTACTAATTTAATGCTTTAGTTTTTACTACTTTGAAAGGGGAAGTTCATCTAAGTATTACTGATAACAGGGATCCAACTTAAAGAAAAGTTGGAAAGGGCAACAGTCTTTTAAGCAGAACTTACAATTCTGTTGTCATGGTTACTTATATATAATGAATATAACTAGACAAATAGGAGTTGGAAAATGTGGTATATTCTCTAAGTCAAGATGCTCTGAAGTTATTATAGTTTAAGGGACATTCTTAAGGAATGACTTAAGTATATTACTCTTTTCGTTTTCAAGGACATGAAAAAGTAAAGGATGGTCGAGCACTATTTTATATTTTTTTGACCTGTACTGGATATATGTACTTTGAAGGTTTACATCTATAACTAGAAAGCATAGTAATCTGAGGTCTGGTTATTAGGCTAGATTCTTGTTCAGTTATTTTTATCTCTGTCAAAAGTTAAAACTAATGTTGCCTCCTTTTTAGTAAGATTCTACGAAAGTTTTTTAACTATTAAAGTTATTTCTTAAGGGGTAGCTCTTATACTTCCTCTACTGTCTTTTTCAGTTTCCATAAAAAGCTGTTTTCTTAGCTATTACTCCAAATAAAGTTCTTTGGTTTGCTTAAAAATGTAGTGTAATGCAGTTGTTTTCTCCCTGCTAACCCGAGTGTCCAAAATAGGTATCTAGACAGCTTTAAGAAGGTGACGGTCACGGGTAAGTGATGACTGTGCCTCTCATCTTCAGATTCTTCAAATGCTGCATACTGTGAAACATGTTAAGACCAATATAAATCCAAAGATGTGAGTTGATTATACTTTAATAATTAAATTCATAAAAAGTTTACTATCTTTAATGCCAAAAAAGTCTTAATCCATAAATGATTATATACAATCTTAGAAAATGTGCTTAACAGTTATGGCTTCTTTATTTCTATGAGTAAAGATTAGTAAGAAACTTAAAATTAACATCCTTTTAAAATTTTCTGTTCCATTTTAATGTATTTTAGGCATTTAGAACTAGCCTGGCATAATGAAGAAGGAAATAAAAGCATTAAAGATAACTGAGTTTTGATCCTATGTTTATCTCTAAAATGCGCTGTCTTGTTCCTATTTTCAAAATCATAATAACTTTTACATGCCTTACAAGACCAAGAATTAGTAGGAATAAAGTTGGAAGGATGGCGTCAGTTATTTCTGTCTTTGAAAGTATAATATTTACATGGAAAAGAGTTTGCTTAAAATTATATTCTTAATCAGAATTTATTTAAACTACATTATCTAATTGCTTCTGTAAAATTGTTATGGTACTACAATACAGTGGACACTCTTACAGCTTAAAGAAATGGGCTTTTTGTTGTTGTTGTTTGTATTTTTGAGATGGAGTCTCGCTCTGTCACCCAGGCTGGAGTGCAGTGGCACAATCCTGGTTCACTGCAACCTCCGCCTCCCAGGTTCAAGCAATTCTCCTACCTCAGCCTCCTGAGTAGCTGGGATTACAGGCACACGCCATCATGCCTGGCTAATTTTTTGTATTTTTAGTAGAGATGGGGTTTTGCCATGTTGGCCAGGCTGGTTTCAAACTCCTGACCTCAAGTGATCCACCCACCTCAGCCTCCCAAAGTGTTGGGATTACAGGCGTGAGCCACCGCGCCTGGCCAATAAATATTTTTTAAAAGTAGTCATGTACATCAACATTTCTTACATGTTCTATATGAGTAATAAACACCTAAAGCTTGCTGCAAAACATCAGTTTAGGAACTTTTTATGAGGGTTTAATAAAACTAGCGCCATTGGAATAAATTCCCGAGTTGCTCCTGCAGTAGCTTATCTGAGCTCTCAACAGCAAAGAGAAAGAATGCTAGAGCAAATAGGATTATGTTATGGCAGAAATTTTTATTTGATTTTTCAATTTTGGTGATGGATTTTTAATTCATTTAGAGATATTTTTGGAGCCACCATAATAGACTCTTAAGATTCTATGCTTCCATTTCCAAATTTATTTGGTAAATCCAGGTAAGTTGCATTATTTGTGCTAGATTACATTTTTGAGGTTTAACTGGTTTACAAAATAAAACTTAAGAGGTAACATCATTATTTTACTATAATGAGACAGTTTTTTCACATGACTCTAAACCACAATTATAAGATAGTAAAAGAATTTGAGGCCGGGGACGGTGGCTCACACCTGCAATCCCAGCACTTTGGGAGGCGGAGGCGGGCGGATCACAAGGTCAGCAGTTCGAGACCAGCCTGGCCAATATGGTAAAACCCCGTCTCTACTGAAAATACAGAAATTAGCCACACATGGTGGTGGTGTGCCTGTAGTCCCAGCTACTCGGGAGGCTGAGGCAGCAGAATCGCTGTAACCCAGGAGGCAGAGGTTGTAGTGAGCCGAGATCACACCACTGCACTCCAGCCTGGGTAACAGAGCCAGACTCCATCTCAAAAAAAAAAAGTATTTGAAGAGTCACCAAAAATGATAAAAACTATGGTGCCAAATTCTTACAGGATATAGATTACAATGATAGTCTTCACCAAAAGCCCACACGTCACATTTTATCTCATACATTTTGGAATTATAGCTAGTCTGCAAAGTCTGGAGGGTGCTTTGTTCTTGATTGCATTCTGAGAATCTATTTCATGCAGAAAATATGCAGCATTAAGCAAATATATCTGTTTCCCACATAGTTACCTGTACAAACTAGAAAAATCTAATTGTACCATTAACTACTGTCTTCACTTTTAACACTTGAGTGTAGTTTTGCCTGTTTTTGCGCTTCATACAAATGGGATTATGCTCTTGTGTATGACTTTGTAGCTCAGCATCTTTATGTTTGTGAGATTCTTTGATATCGTTGCATGTAGCTGTAACTGGTTCACGTTGATTTTTATGTAGTATTCTAGTACTTGACTATACCATGATTCATGTATCTATTACGTGGCTGATGGATATTGTGGGTGGTTTCTAGGTTTTGACTATTACAAATAATGCTGATGTGAGGACTTTTGTAAACGTGCCTTGGTTGCTGCTTGTGTACGTTTTAGTTGGGCATGCAGGTAGCAGTGGAGTTGCTGGCTCAGAGCCGTGCTTGTGTTTAACAGTGCTAGAGTCGTCCACAGTGAGTGTAACAGCTCCTTCTTCCACAAAAGTGTAAGTTTGTGTTGCTCTAGAGACTCATTAATATTATTGTCAGTCTTTTTTTTCTTTTTCTTTTTTTTTTTTGAGTCTAGGTCTTGCTCTGTCACCCAGGCTGGAGTGCAGTGGCCCGATCATGGCTCACTGCAGCCTTGACCTCCCTGGCTCAAGCGATCCTCCCACCTCAGCCTCCCAAGTAGCTGGGACAACAGGCATGCGCCACCATGTCGCCACCATGTCCAGCTAATTATTGTATTTTTTTGTGGAGATGGGATTTCGCCGTGTTGCCCAGGCTGGTCTCGAGTGCCTGGGCTCAAGCAATCCTCCTGCCGAGGCCTACCAAAGTCCTTGCAATCCCAAAGGGATTCCATGTGTGAGCCACCGCAACTGGCCTTTCAGTCATTGTTTTAAAGTTTTAACTATTCAAGTGCATATTTCATATAGCTCATTGTGATTTTAATTGTATTATTTTGACTAATAATTAGA